CCCCCCCCCGCGTCCGGCCCCTCGGTGTGAGCAGCGCCCCACATCACATCCACCGACCTCCGCAACCGCTACACCTCGCCCAACTACTATACCCTGGTCAAGATGGCCACCGAGGCCGAGCGCAAGGCCAATGCCGCGCCCGAGCACGGTGCCCTGGACAGCGACGACGACATGATCATGCTCGGCTTCAATGAGTATGTCCCCTTCAACTACAAGGTCCATGCCGGCATGGACGGCCTTGTCACCTATTCCGAGGAGGAGTACTACAATGTCCATGCTCTCCCGGAGGAGGCCCTGCGGGTGGGGGATGCCGCCAGTGCCGCGGGGTCCAGCCCCGGGGCCCCGGCCACCGCCGCCCCCAAGGACCCGGCCGGACGCCAGCCCGACAGCAGCAGCAACAGCAACAGCGGCCCCGATGCCAGCAAGAAGACCCCCGCGGCTGGAGTGGTCCCGGTGGCCGGGAAGCCCCCCGCGGCCCCGGTCACCCAGGGCCCAGGCGCCGGCGGAGCCGCGGCCGCCTCCCCGGCAGCCACCCTGTCGGTCGTGCCGTCGGTCAATGTCAGCCCCGTCGGGGGGACCAACCTCCTGGAGCTCTTCCCCCGGATTGCCACCATGTCGACACAGCACTTCAAGCCGCCGGCGCACATCACCGACCGGTACCACTCGAACTTGGTGCAGGCCGTGGCGCGCGTGCTGCCCGAGTGGGGGCCGCCCGTGACCAAGCTCAAAAGTACGCCACCCGGCCCAGGACCATGCACCAGTGCCGATGCCCCAGGCAGGGCGGCCGGCCCGAAGCGCCGAAGCGGGGGCGGGGGGGCGGGGCCGGCGCAAGAGGCCGGCAGAACGGCCCTCCTCCCGCAGGCCCTCAGACCCGGGAGGGGTGGAGGGGGGGGGGGGGGGTTATCGGAGAGGTGAGCCCCCCTAACACATGGCCATGCACGCGTCGGGCACCGTGCTGCGAATGGTCGAGCAGCTGCGCAGAAGCTCCACGAGGAGCTGCACGCGGACTTCATGAGCAAGCCCAGCATCCTGCGGTCGACCATGGCCGAGAAGTGGCCTCGCGAGCTGCACGACCAGCATACGGAGAAGTACTGTGGCGCCGGGGTGCCCGGCGAGACCAACCAGTGCCGGCAGTATCTGGCCGTGTGGCCGAACCGCGGGGCGCACGTCGGCCATTTTGTGACGAATTGGTACGCAAGCCTCGGAAAGCCCGGAGGAGCGGAGGGCGGGAACGGGACTGCCCCGCGCGCGCTGGGGGGGAGGGACAGCGCACGCGCGCCCCCCCCCCCTGGTGGCGCCTTTGCGCGAATCAGGCAAAGACGCGCAGGAGGACGGAAGGGGCGGCGGGGCGCGCGAAAGGAGGGAGTCCGTGCCATCGACCGCTGACAGAGCCCCATCCCTGGCGCATGGGCCTTTTCTTCCCCCGGTCCTCGCTTGGCGCTGGCAACAGGAAACACGGCTACGCGATGGCCGTCATGTACAACTTGACCTTCCTGCACTCGCTCATCATGCCCAACCAAAAGGAGCGCACGGTGCTTGACCAGTTCCTCGGGCTCGGGCTCGGTGAGCAGTATCGCTATCGGTGCGCCCGAGAGAGAGAGAGAGAGAGAGAGAGAGAGAGAGAGAGAGAGAGGGAGAGGGAGAGACGGCCCGGTGCCCGCGGCCGCCGACAGAGACACACGCGCACACATGACCAGGGGGGGCTCCTCTGGCGCAGCACACAGACAAGCACGCCGGGTGCCTCGGCGCAGGTCAAATACTGACGCACACGCCGAACACCGGACACCGGACATAGGGAGATCTGCACCGCCGGCAAGAATGGCCAGCCCTGTTCGCAATTCCTCCCCTGCTTGAAGGTGGTCCCCCTCAAGTGCCCGGAGGTTGAGCCCGGGGTGGGAGTCAATGAGGAGTGTGATATTGCCTCGCAGATTGCCCAGTACGCCGGGCAGTGCAATGTCGTCTTCCACCAGCCCCCCCAGCCGGTGACCATGGACCTGTCCGGCCTGCGGCCGGTTCTTCGTGAGAAGTGGCGCATCGCACGCCAACGGTACGGCTGCACCTCCTCCCCGGGCAGGCCCTGCTGTGACGAGGGGGGCCTGCGCTGCCGCGCGTTGCATCTCCTCCCTGTGCTCAATGGCCAATCCGAGCGGAGGCCATGCCAGGGCAGGAGCGGGACGGCCAGGCAGCCGGACGGCCGATAGCAAGCGGGGAAGCGACTGGGGGTGAGAAGGGGCGGCAGGTGTGCGCACGGAAGCTCCGCCATGGGGCATACGAGGAGAGAGAAAGGGAGAGAGAGAGAGAGAGAGAGAGAGAAGCCCTGTGAAGCTGCGATACCAGGGCCACGAAAGGAAACTCACCCCCCCCACCTCCAGCCACCCGATCCAGTACGAGTTCGACAACTCCGCCATCAATGTGGCCCTGCATGTGCGGCGCGGGGACATCGTCGGCAGCGCCAAGGGCGCCGTCGCCGCCAAGGAAGAGCACCAGAGCCGGTGGACCAACACATCGGCCCACCGGAAGCTCATCGACAAGCTGCTCGCCGAGCTGGGGGCCATCCTCCAGAGGATCCAGGCCCAGGAGGCCACATCGCCGGCTCCGCGCCTGGAAGACCTCCTCCACCAGGCCCTGGCTCGGGAGGGCCGCAGCACGGCCACCCTGCCCGGCATCAGCACCGCCCCGGTCAGTGAAGACGCCCGGCGGGACTGGGCCCTGTCCGGGGCCCGGCCGGCCCACAAGTGGGGCACCATGCCGGAGGTGCACGTTCACCTCTTCTCCCAGGGGGCCCCGGCGGACTTTGCCGTGCTGCAGTCGGTCCCACACCTGAAGCTCCACCTGAATGCCGACCTGCTGTTTACCATTTCCCACATGGCGGCCACCGATGTGCTGGTGATGGCGCGCTCCGGGCTCAGCGACCTGGCGGCCAAGTTCCGCTCCGACGACCAGATCACCATCGTCCCGACCGGCTTCTGGGACTATGCCGAGCGCGATTGGTTCCTCTTCGACAATGACACCGGCGATGTGGACTTCACCCACCTGGAGGAGCGCCTGCGCATCCTGATCGAGGCCAAGCGGGCCGGGGCCATTCCCAGTGGCGTGTATGCCGCCGAGCCGACCTTCCGGGCTGGTGCTCGGATGGTCGTCACCACCGACGGCCCGCCCGCGGGGGGCGGCGGGCGGAAGCCTGCCAGCGGTGCCGCCCCCGGCGCCGCCGTCGCCGCTGCCACCGCCACCACCGCCACCACCACCACCACTACCTCATTCTCCTCCTCAGCTGGCGGTGATGCGACCACCCCGGGCAGCCAGGCGGTGCGTGCACGCCGGTCACCCAAGTCCCAGCAGGGGGGGGAGGGCCATTGCAATCGGGCAGGGGGGGAGCATGACCAGCCACCTCCGACCGGTGGCGACGGCGGCAGCGGCGACGGCGGCAGCGGCGACGGCGGCAGCGGCGACAGCTATGTGCCCGAGCGGATGCGCGGCCGCCGCCGCCGCCACTGCCGGCGCCTGCTCCGGCGCTTCGGTCGTGGCCACGGTGGCGACCGGCAGCAGCAGCCGGGGGAGGAGGGCAGCCCCAGGCCCGAGGGGGAGGAGGAGGAGGAGGAGGGCCCGCACCGGCCGCGGCACGGCCGGCAGCCGGGCCTTTTTGCCATCGCCCCTCGGCGGCAAGCCGTCGCTCCATCTGACCCCTGGCTGATGAAATACCCTGCCGACGCCGTGGCACCCGGTGCCGGCTCAATCACCAACACCGCAGCCATGAGCACCGGGGAGGCGGGCTGGCCGCGGTCGCGGCGCCGGTCGGCCGCCGGGTCCACCCTCGAGGCCTCGGCGAGCGATGACAGCGGCGGGTCCCGCGATGATCGGTCGCCTCCGCCAACCGGTGGCGGCCAGGGAAATGCCACCGGCCCCGGCGGTGCGAACGGCGACCCGGGATCGTCGTCCCTGCCAACCTTTGACCAGTGCTTCGACTCCTTCCGGGCATACAAGCCGCGCAAGCTCAAGCGGCTCCTTTGCCGCGGCCACGAGGATGCGGACCTCTCCCATTCCGACGATGGCATGGACGACAGCCACGGCAGCAGCGACGACGACGACGACGACGACGACGACGACGACGGCTACGGCGGCAGGCCGGAAGCAGGCAGCCTGTGGGCCGGCGGCCTGGGTGCCGGCCTTGTTGCGGAAGATGCCGACCGCCGGCGCCCAATCAGCCTCAGCGACGGGTCGTTCACCACGGTCCGCGACTACTGCCTGGGCAGGCCGCCCACGGGGGGCCCACTTATCCCGGAAGAGCCATCGGAGGTGCCGCTCCCGCCGGGCTTCAAGTGGCCGCAGCCGCCGCCAGGGGAAACCCCGGGCGAGGAGCAGGGGCCACAGGTGCTCCCGTAGAGCGTGCGCGCGCGCGCGCGCACCCCGGCTGCTTCAAGGTAACGCGCCTTGTCTTTGGAGGACCGCCGCTTCGGCCCCGTGGCGGCGCTGGCCGTCACCGCGCGCGCGTCGAGAGAGGGGGTAGCGCGCGGGGGCGACATCCAGCGACACAAAGAAGGCCGCAGAGAGAGAGAGACATCTATACATTCAGAAAGGGCATACATGTGCACACGCATCACTCGGGCAATGGTTTCGAGGGGGGGGGGGATGGCTCTATTGCACGGAGCGGGGCTGAAAGGGGAGAGAGGGGGGGGGAGAGAGCACGGGGGGGAGGGAGGGGC